TAGGGGAAGAATGATTATCTGTCAGATTGTAGGCGGTAATGTTATGCGGAATCTAATTCCAGGTGAATGAAGATGAATGTTTGCTGGCGATGGCTCCGTTGACTGGCGTAGGATGGGGACCGCAGCTGATCCTGGGTCATCCGTTCATACGACAGTATTGTCACATCCACGATTTCGGTAAAAGGCAAATCGGTTTTGCGAAACCAAGAACTCCTCAGACTCAACTGAGTGGTTTATGAGCCAACTGTGATCAAATAACAACAATCTTCATAATGACGCATTCAATTAAGCGTTCGATCAACGATTGGATCGCTTAGCGTCAAACATCGTTTGGTTGATTAATTGTAAATGAAACTGCCTAAGTTCGGAAGAATGAATTGGTTTTGCAGATGTTTCTATTATATTGCTCATTCATAGTCATTGATAGTCTAGTCAGCATTATCGCAGTAGCTGTTATCAATATCATTAAATCGTTATTCATCAGTGCTATCAGTAGTATTTTGAATAAATTTATTATAGCAGTATCCTCATTACTTGACTATCATAGCATACTCTCGTTACTACTTCTTCCGATGGTATCGGTGCGTTGGCTAATTCACTTGCAACGAATATGCAACAAATACGTTGCCTTTCCCACATGTTCATCTTTATGTTTTGATTTGAACCGTTTCATCGAAATGATGTTNTGGCCAGCAACTTTACAAACGTTCGATAGTCTGGACAATCCAGGTAATCCAGGTAATATTCAAAGAATGATTTTCACATAATATTCGAATATAATCAAATTTTGATCATATTCATTCATTTGATTGATCTATAAATAGCCGTTACAAATTGCTGCCAATCCATTGTGTTCCCATTATATACGGCGAGCAGTTGGTCAGGGGTGATTTTAAAAATCGTTGTGATGGACTTTACAGCGATATTGTTTTTAATCGTTTTAGCTATTGTCGCATATATCTACGTTGTTAAGGTGGTTATTATTATTGGCGCTATGATTACTGTTGTTGTAGTCGTTATTATTATTGTGCTTAGGCTCAGACTCTCTTTAAGCCTGATTGCTTTGTCGTCTTTGAAGAAATAGAGTTTTTTCTGCATCGCTGATATCACCAATATCACTTCATTCGTATCATATTCTTCCTTCACTGGTATTTTTCTTTCCGCGCAGTTAACGATAATAGCGTTGGGAATCATCTATCTTCATGAAATTCTAGGCCGGATTGTTGATTTGGCAAGCACAGAGAACACCTCTGAATGTGCACCTGTTTTGTGTGCATGTACTGACTTTTTTCCTCGCGGTCAGTCAGTTTTCCATCAGACGGGCAGCATAGCCAGGCTTTAGACCAGTGGTCCCCACATTTGGGTACCCCATTGCCCCTTTGATGATCCGGCAGGTCGACATTACCTCGCCCCGCGCCTCTCACTGCTATAGTAATACTATTTCCACGCATAACGTCGGAACTAATTTCCCGTCCCTCCATGACCAACCTCCGCGACACCCCAACAAATTACCCACAAACGGGTAATTCACCCCTTATGAGGAACCCTGCTTTAGATGGTTTGAGCAATGCGTGCGTTGTTTCGATGAGTACATCTGTATCGTTCGCTATGCTACATGAATTGTATTCGCCATCGGTCAGCTTTTCATTGCAAACCAAAATTGACGGCAAAATTAGCGATGAACAGCAACTAACAATCGAAATGAATTCAAGCATCGCGTTCAATTGGAAGAAGGCGCGAATGAGCCATCGATTGCACTCACAACAGCGCAATCGACACAGTCCGTTAAAACTGCGATTCCGTTAACGAATGAAACTGATAACAGTAATAATGAAAGCAATCAACGAGCTGAGGCAAAGGCTCAGACTGAAGAAGCTACAGCAATCCAAAGTACCAGTCCTCTGGCCACAGCTCAGGCGCCTACATCACCCGCGCTGGTGACACCTCAGGAAGCTAAGGTACTAAATGAGCCTACATCACCCTCGCTGGTGACACCTCAGGAAGCTAAGGTACTAAATTTTCTTGTTTCCATGTTGTTTGTTTTTGATGATATTTCCTTTCGGTATCGTTTTGATCAGCATTATTATTGATGGTGCTATTTATATTGTTAATTAGTGCGTTCCAGGATGCTACACCGGCATCAGACGAAGCTGCTGCAGAGAGTGGTCCGGGCTTAGATGGCTCCACCACCGATAGTAAACCAGTTGCAAATTCACAATCGGCCACCACACCGGTCTTTATTATTTGATTTATTTTACGAAGATTTATCACCGTCATGACAATTTTTACGATGATTGCCAGAAACTTCGAATATGGTTTACTATCGTTACTATTTGTTGTTTTTAAGCAGCAGCCCAGCTCAACTCCTGTCTTGAAGACGGCTGAAGAAACCACAGTAACAAGTCCATCAGGTGTAGCCGTAGATTCCGTACCCACTGAACCATCGTAAGTTAACTCATGACATATTCGAGCGTAACAAGGTTTGCTCCGTTTCGAATGAGAGATTATGTCAAGGAACGCGGAGATGCAACCGAGAGCAGGGTTGATTTTTTGTGGGAGGAGGGGGGGGGGTCCTTGGGTGGGATTCTTCAATGACGACGAGGAATTTAAAACTGAAGAGAAGGAGCTCAATCCGGTTGAAGAGGAGACGGTTGCTATTTGAAGAGTGAGAGCTCAGTCGAAAAAGAAGAGAACTGAA